ATAGTATAGTATTATATTACTATATCTATTATATTATATTATTATAATATACTATTTAGTAGTATAGTATTATTATATTTTACTATATGTAGTAGTATAATCTTTATAGTATTATTCTAGATAGTATTATATTATATATTACAGATGGTAAAGATTACAATATAACTACAAAGAAGAAAGGAATATAAAGTATATATATAAGAAACCCTGTAAGGGATCATTAATAAACTCTACTACCATCTATAATATATAATATAATACTATCTAAAACTAATAATAGTATCGTCTAGTACCAAAATACACCGCGTAAGTACTGAAATAGTTACCTTGTTATTCATGGCATAAAGTTTCGTAGCTATATCTCTAGCAACCAACGTCGTTAACACGGTCGCAAGATACGCTTCCTTAACGAGTAAGTACTCCAACGCAGATCTTTGCCAAAATAAGTATCTGCACGAGCTCGCAGCAACAATGGATACCTAGAACGAACGAAAATAACGATCACTACAGACATTTCTCTGTAACAATTTGTCTTATTTTTGGACCAAGACTTTCATCGATAGACTGCGGATCATTATGCGACATAAAAATGATCTGCATTCATGGTAGAAAATAGCAGTCACAAAAAAGCCTGATTTTTCTTCCCGTAGTTTAAATTAATTCTTCTCTATTGTACACTATATCTTCGCTTATTTTTATACGACGTTAATAGACCGTCGTCTACAATTTAAAAAATCAGGTCGCCCGTAGCGATTCGAAAATTGACCACCCCTTGCTTAAATGAATGAAAAATTCTGCTGTCATTCGCCACCCTAACAGAATACGAAACAGTACAAATCTAAATATGCAGATTGAGAAATTTATGTGCGTCTCGTAAAGGTGAGAAGACTTTCCTTTCCGAGCAAGTTATTGCGAACGATACCGTACTCGCAATCGTTTCATGATTATTCAACGGCAATTAGATGTAAAAAAAAGCAAAAAGATACCGCGTTACGCAAGTCGAAAGTCGTTCTTACCTTAAATTTGTCGTCAACGGATGCTCTGGAGCTCTCGAACTCCGGGGAATCGAGAAACTCGCACGGCAGTATAGGATGCAAGAAATTCGAATCGCTGAGTACGTTCACTTTGCCGCTCAACAGCAAGCCCAGTCTATCGGTCCGAGTTAGGTTCTGCATGGCGTACGCCTCGCCAGCGTGAAGCGACATTATAGATGCAAATTCCGGAGATACTAGTCTTTTGAATTGTAGTCGCGAGACCTGTTACGCAAACAGAGAGAAATTAGCGGTAACGCGTCACTGCGCTCGAGAAAGGGAGCGCAAACTATGTATACGTTTCAGAGAAATAAGTCGAGTCACACGTGTGTACCGTCCCTGAAATTTTCAAGCAAAACGTTTCTGTCGTGTCAAAATCATTTTTCTGCGTGTCAAAATTATGGAATAATCGGAATCTTATCCTTTGCTTCGTTCCGATCTGAATTCTTTGCTTCGACTTGTTGAAAGCGTTCTTGAAAAAGCTCTTTGCATTGACGTGTTGAAGAAGTTCTTCGCTGTATAGAAGCTTCAATATTGCTAATATCTGAACTGAATAATTTATTAAAATGGTATTTGTATGCGCCTGCTTAGAACAAGTAGAAACGGCAAGCGATGGTCAGATGCCTCAGACGAGTTCTACTCGATAATAAACTGCGGATCTCTTCGTGCGCTTACGATAAGAATTAATGAAAAAATTTACAATCGAATTCACAGTCGAAAGATACTTCAGAAGAATTTAAAGATGCTGTCACATTCTTTGCAACTCGTTAAAAGTAAAATCAGAAGAAATAAATCTGCGCGATATCAGCTTCTTGCGATTAGTGCAGACAATTTTCATTTTGCATAAAAATGCCTAATAATAAGCGTGTTCAACGAACACGCAAACGTTGTAGTTTGTTCCCAGCATGTGCATACAATGGATTTCTATTCCGCGATGCAAATTATGTCATGTTTGTCGTAATGCAGATTAACCCCTTAACGCATAGTTTTTTTTTTTTTTTAAACCGACCAAAGAAAATCAATTTTTATATACTGCGCTTTTGTTCCATGGAAAAAGGCTATATTTTATTCTTGAATAAATAAGTGTTATAGCTTACAATCCCATGTAAATGACAAATATCAATAAAACGATTTTTTTCTTTGCTTTCACATTGTTATTTTCAATTCTCGATTATATTCGAGTGTGAAAAATTATAGCAGCATAAAATACGACGCCGCTCGAATTATCTCGAGTGTGCACAGTTTGGCTTGTTTAGCGCGTTCGAATTAACTCGAGCGTACAAGTTAAGGGGTTAATTTGTCACAATGTAAATAACAATGAACTTTTTCTCTCGCGTAGAGGATCGAAGAGGAGATTTCTGGACAACGTACTTTAAACGGATAGAAAAGCGTGTGATACACTTCCTCCAGTTCCGGGTCGAACCTGACCGGCCTCATTTGATAAACGATGTAAACCAGCTGTCCCATGTTCAGTACCAGGAAGCTGAAGTTCCAGGAGAATATGTCCGGCGCGCATATCACGTGCCATGCCCAACCAGAAAGCAGCATGAACCCTTGAAAAAAGGAGATTATCGTTTTACAAACGCTGAATGATCGGAATCACGATTTTTCCTCACGAAGAAGTCACGTGGCATTTCACTGTATAATTAACGCGTCGTTAGATTAGGATCGCAGCCTACAGTAGGCCGAATATAGACAAAAGTAAGATGATCGAAGTCGCGTGACTTGGCATCGGTACGATCAGATTTACACGGAAATAGCCTAACTTCCACAAATAGAACCTTGGTTGTATTAACGATAGGGATGCATTTGTGACGAAAGTGTGCAGCTGAAATATAAAACTGTGAAATATAAAACTTTGATTGTAGAATCATACTATTTTCAGTCTATGAAAATGATTGAAAGAAAGAATTTATTTTCATTTCATTTCTGTTTAATCTGTGGAAAATTCACAGTCTGATTATTGTACGTAGGCAACCTCGATATTATTTTATAATATTATATAATATTGTTATACTATACATATTATNTATTTTATTCTTGAATAAATAAGTGTTATAGCTTACAATCCCATGTAAATGACAAATATCAATAAAACGATTTTTTTCTTTGCTTTCACATTGTTATTTTCAATTCTCGATTATATTCGAGTGTGAAAAATTATAGCAGCATAAAATACGACGCCGCTCGAATTATCTCGAGTGTGCACAGTTTGGCTTGTTTAGCGCGTTCGAATTAACTCGAGCGTACAAGTTAAGGGGTTAATTTGTCACAATGTAAATAACAATGAACTTTTTCTCTCGCGTAGAGGATCGAAGAGGAGATTTCTGGACAACGTACTTTAAACGGATAGAAAAGCGTGTGATACACTTCCTCCAGTTCCGGGTCGAACCTGACCGGCCTCATTTGATAAACGATGTAAACCAGCTGTCCCATGTTCAGTACCAGGAAGCTGAAGTTCCAGGAGAATATGTCCGGCGCGCATATCACGTGCCATGCCCAACCAGAAAGCAGCATGAACCCTTGAAAAAAGGAGATTATCGTTTTACAAACGCTGAATGATCGGAATCACGATTTTTCCTCACGAAGAAGTCACGTGGCATTTCACTGTATAATTAACGCGTCGTTAGATTAGGATCGCAGCCTACAGTAGGCCGAATATAGACAAAAGTAAGATGATCGAAGTCGCGTGACTTGGCATCGGTACGATCAGATTTACACGGAAATAGCCTAACTTCCACAAATAGAACCTTGGTTGTATTAACGATAGGGATGCATTTGTGACGAAAGTGTGCAGCTGAAATATAAAACTGTGAAATATAAAACTTTGATTGTAGAATCATACTATTTTCAGTCTATGAAAATGATTGAAAGAAAGAATTTATTTTCATTTCATTTCTGTTTAATCTGTGGAAAATTCACAGTCTGATTATTGTACGTAGGCAACCTCGATATTATTTTATAATATTATATAATATTGTTATACTATACATATTATATTATATATATTATTATTATATTATGTGTATATTATTAATATTATATAATATTACATAATAATAGAGATCACTTGAAGCAATCGATGGCATATCGATGCCCGAGTATCGAGAATAAGTTGCTTCCGCATTTGTTTACGTAAGATTCATTTAGCGACAGATAAACCTTAATCGGAAATGCTTGAAGAAGGCTGTCCCACTAATGTTTGCCTTGAAACGTATCGACACCAGTAAACGGAGCATGAAATTATCTGCGAATTGTTTCAAGCAGAGAAATATGTATCGCTTAGAAAATGTCTTATCCTGCAAATAAGTCGGTCGTACATGTTCGAACCTCAATCTATTCAAATTGCGCGGATAACGCGATTCTTCTTCCTCGCCTGAAACCGAATTGTTGCCGCAACTTATTCGCGAATTTTATTATAATCTAAAAATCGATCTATTCGGCCTAATTTCGCAGCTTCGAACCCATTAGCTGAATCACTTTTAGGCGACGATTAACCAATTTCTCTTGTCACTTGACACGTTCGCTACCAGAGTCACTAAACGCACACAATCATAATTATTATACTTATCGTACTGAATACGTCGCGTTAGAAACAATTATATTCATATTTATAAACACTATACACAATTATACTTATCGCAGATATCGTATCAAACGCGCTCTCTTCAAAAACGTGTTAAAAAGTCGTCGATTAAATTCTCCAAATTTTCGAACTATCATTCTACGTGTTAAAATCCGAAATAATTATCGTCAGAAAATTCATTCGACGTTCTTCACGGGAATTACAAAATCGTGATCGTCGCGCGTGTGTCACGCTGCCAGCGAACGCATTTAATTGCGCTTAATTCGTTCGAATCGTTCGACTCGACGAATCGGACGGGATCGTCGTCGAGATTCAAGAGCCGCAGCATTTCTTTGCCAGCGATTTTCGTAGATAGGCGTACGATGATACGTACGTTGGTTCCTGGGCGATCGTAGGGATGACAGATATTGGAAACGCTCACCGATAATTAGGACGGAGTGCATAAACAGTATGCCCTTTCTCGAGGACGGCGCCGCGTACGACAGCGCGAAACAAAAGTTCGCCAGCTGGAACAGTATGTGTTGCGGTTGCTGCCAGAGGCACAAGGCCGTGTTACCTGCAACGCGGTGATCCATCGGAATTAGACATGCACAGACGCGCACAGTTGTATCAGAGAACAGAAGTGTCACCTGGGATTTACCTAGTGCTGTGATATTGTACGAAGGAAGTGGGTCATGTCCGAGACCGGGGCTCATCTTGCCTATCGGTGATTGGAGTTAAAGGGAGAGGAAGAACGACTGCCTCGAGTATTACTTAGTATCCATTCTCACTGGTTTGTTTTGGTCAAATTTGCCAGTGTCCTCCTGTCCTTGCAGGGGCGCGGCGTATGCATCGCGCAGGGGCGCTTGCGCCGGCCTTTCGCGATCGATTGTTCTTCAGGGTTGGTCATGCAGGGTTGCTCGCCGATGCTCCGAGGGAGGATATCTACCGAAGGCAAGGACAAAGTAGGACAAAGTTGCATCGACGATGGCAACGAGTCGCACACCAGTCGCCGAATGTTTTAAGTTTTATCGACGCAAGGTACTGCGACTGCTTCGATAACTTTCAGACAGTGCAGTTCTTGCCTACGTTTAATAACAGCCAGCTTTCCGACGAGCAATAATATTCTGCTTGCCTACGTATAATAATTGCCTGCGTGCAATAATAGCCAGCTTTCCGACATATAATACAGCCCAGCTTGACTGCATATAATAATTGCCCGCGTGCAATAATAACCAGCTTTCCAACGTACAATAATATTCAGCTAATAATTGGACTGCGGATCTTCGCGGAGAATAAACATTTTCCAAGGCGATTAAACGGAAATCGAATGGAAATAAGTTCTTTCTTTTAATCGTTTTCGTAGACTGAAAATAGTACGACTATATTATCAAATTCTTCTTGTATATTCGTAATTCTATATTTCAGATACACTCTTTCGTCACAGATGCACTGCAAGTGCACTGCGGTGCAATAATAATGCAACCGTTGCACTTCTGTTCGTGACGATCTGAAACACCTGATAAATACGAATAATACTTTTATTCTATTTTCGAGCAATTTTTCAGTTCTTGAGATTAATTAATTCGGATGAAATTGAAGAGAAAAACAGAGATTTTCGTAAAGATGTCTTTTTTAGCACTGATCGCAGCCTCCATTTCTTAAACAGCGTTAGAATCATCGGTATGCAATAAGATCTTGATATTTCTCAAATTTTGCGTCCCAACGCATATTTTATATCTTAATGTTTAACTAAATTTATCAAATACCAGATGATATTGAATAATATTCATTAATATGTTTTCAAGCATTTGGATGTGAACGATTCCATTGAAGCATTGAAGGAGGAAATTGTTTGAAAAAAATAGTGATCTTACAGTTTTCGAGAGCAGCGATATCTTTCTTAAGGATTAGGTGTATCAGAAAGACGCGAGCGAGGGTGTCATCCGAGGGAACATTCTCGCAGTGGCTTACGAATACCGGATGCAATTAAATAGAGTTCGATCGAGGGAGTTATAAGCTTTAAGTTACCGCGGACTGGTCAGTGTGCGCAGAGTTTATAAGGTATGCATAACAGGCTATCCCTTCTAATCCCTTTCGAAACACCCATCCCGTGCCATGCGTATAATAACCATCGCTAAAACAACGAATTTCTAAACCAATTCATGTTATTTTGCAGTAATATACGAAACTCGTAGCTGACAGTTATTATGAATTATTTGCAAACACCTATTCATAGCTCTCAATAATTTATGCAATTACTTAGCTGGCTTAATTAAGACGTTGGCCGTCGCATAAAATGTCCATAAATATCATTTTTACAGTCGTTTTCTGATCGTCGGATTATCATGTTATTTGTTAATCTCGATTACAAAGCTTGTCAAGCAAGCTCCACTAATAACATCGAATTAGTTATAATGACACTGTGTTATTACATCGGATAAATTTGCCGCGAGAAGCGCGTCACGATCGAATTGATTAACACGTTACGTCCCTGATACATTTACAACACCTGGAAAATGTTGAACGTACCATACTCGCGCTGTAGTTCGCGAAGATTCTGGGAAGCTTTCCGAAGAACAGCGTCAGCTCCGAACTTCACACGGGCTGCAGTTTTTTGCACCTGCGCCGGATTCGATAGCTCCCTCCGAACTGACAATCTTGGTTCAGCATCAGCACGTCCTGGAAAACGTTCTCTCATTCTCGTCTCAACACGTCGCTTGTCTCAATGCCTCGCGGTGCGTATCGAGCTTGGAAGAGCGTTCAGCCACTCCTGCGACACTTGAACAGCGCAGACAAAACAGATTCGGGATTCCAACTTGCGCCGAATCAACTGTGATATCTCTGAACTTTAGAAAACGAATCCACCTTTGCAGGCTAGAGCGGTCCAATTGCGCCAACATCGAGAATCAGATTGGGTTCGTACGGCGGCCTCGGTTCCGGTTGACGATATCAGAGTTTGAAGATTATCTCCGATGCTTCTCTGTACTTTTTCGCAAAGTAACCCATTTATTTTGGCTATGAATAAATCATTTGAAGCCTCAGATCATTTAAAGCAACTTCTTCCTTTACAAAAATATTCTCCGAGGCACCGTTAACGAGTTATTAACGAAACACAGTGACCAATGAGAGGCGAGCTCGGCTCTGTCTCTTATACACTTCTAGATGTGTATAAGAGACAGAGCCGAGCTCGCCTCTCATTGGTCTCTGTGTTTCGTTAATAACTCGTTAACGGTGCCTCGGAGAACATTTTTGTAAAGGAAAAAGTTGCATCAAATGACCTGAGGAACCCGCCACTTTTAGATTGCGAGACATTTTTGGGACACCCTGTAGAGTACTGCGTGTCCTGTTTCAATAGTAGAAAAGCATCGAATCTCCTTGAAGTATCAATTTCTTTGGGAGAGTTCAAAGAATACTGCCATGCAAATTCAAAGATTCGAAATTCAGCTCACGATTATCTACAAGTTTATTTAAACTTTAAATGAGCGTGATGAACCGTGCAACTATAGTTTCAACATTGATAAAATAGATTTAAAGTAGATTTAAAATAGATTAAAATAGATTTAGATGGATTTATTATTCTTCCGATTTATTTATTTATTATTCTTCGACTGACTCAAATTTCATCTACTCATTCGTGTCCATAGTGCATAAAATCGACAATCTACACCCCATCGTTTGTCACAACTCGATTTTTTTTTATTAAGGCCAATTAGGAAGAGTATTGTCCGCTCATCGGACCGTGGATTTTATAGATTCATATGAAAAACGTGCTGGTGAAGTAACAAACTATGCTATAATTAGGCGAAAGAAAGATCGTCACATTGTTTTAAATGACAAGATACATATATATCTAACTTACAAGTTACTTCGTAGCTTCTTAGTTTGCATAAGTGACCGTTGTCCAACGATTCCAAATTTATTGCCCATTGAAATCATATAGCGCAATTATTAAGAACCTTGTTTTAGCATCTATCCTTGGCAGAGGTACCGGGAGAGACACGAGCTGACGTTGCTTATTGTATGCACGAATTTTCCATCGTCAGTCTCGTTATCTAAACTCTTCCAAATGGTGGGTTATTTTGTTCACAAAACGATAATGAAAAACATTCTCGCTTTATGTAACATATATCGTCACAAGGTTATGTCTAAGTATAAATAAATCGGACCGAAAGTGTGCCTGCGCACTTCGTGCAGCATAGAGTTTCGCTATTGTCCACCGTAGATCGGACATATTCATAATGAAAGTATTCATCTTCTTATTCGTTATTGCGCTGAGCGTCGCGAATATTCTCGCCGATTGCTTGGTGAACACGACGTTGGGTCGTGTAACGGGAGGAGAAATTATAATAGAATCTGGTGAGGAAGTCAAATTTTTCTGTGGAATACCGTATGCAGAACCGCCGATTGGACCGCTGAGGTGTGTGCCACCTCATATTCACATAAATTGTGAAGGCTATGAGTTGAAAATTAGTAGATCTTTTCATTATTAAACATCAACGAGAGAAATGCTAACTGTTTCGTTTAGATGATTTCTATTTTTGTTTTAAACAAGCATCGACAGATCGTGTTTCGATGCCAAAGAATGTATTTAAAGATTCCAGGATCCAATACCGAAGAAACCATGGAAAGGTGTGTTCGATGCAGACAAGGAGCCTTGCCAGTGCAAGCAGATAATCAATGGTGCCATAATTGGCAGCGAGGATTGCTTATACGTGAACGTTTACGTTTCCAAGCTGAAGGTATCGACGAAGCAATTTTACGATTCAAAAATGTCGTGCCGATCGTGCACAATCACGAGCATCGTTAACCTGTCGCCTGTGATACGTTCCTGCAACTGTAAGAGCAAATGAAACTGCAAGAGCAAATGCAACTGCAAGAGCAAATGCAACTGCGAGAGCAAATGCAACTGCGAGAGCAAATGCAACTGCAAGAGCAAATGCAACTGCAAGCTTTCAGAATGTTGAGACAGTTTATAGAGGCTTCGAAAAAGTCGGCGAAAAGACTTCAAAAAAGTGAAATATTCGGATCTCTTTCAACAGGAGAATTGTCTTGATATTGTTAAAAAATGTTAAAAGTAAATATTCCCGATGGTTATTCGACGGTGTTAATCGATCAATTACATCGATTGCATCGATTGCATCAATTGCATCAATTACACGCACTATTTTCAACTGGCCGAAGTGCTTAAAATATCAAACTCGTATTTCCGTATCCCCGAAGTCCCGCAATTATTGCAGAACAATTTATATTCTCCATAAAAATCCGCGGCCCATTTCTAGCCGATTGAATCCGCTTCGTTCGAAATTGATCGACTAACGTTTCACCGAATAATCCGTAAATCGGTATTCCAGCGTACTCGGCTGCAAAATTTCAGGAGCAGATTTTTTTCAAATATCTATACTTTTCGGTCAATGCAGAAGCGATCGGTGTTCCGAGCATATTATTTCAGAGTTGCCCCTAAAAGTCTCTGCGACGCCATTTTATCTGTCACAGGAGGATTCGAAAAAATTGCTGCCCGTCTTGGTGTACATACCCGATCACGGCTCGAATTGTAGTATGGTCATGTCCGGGCCGCAGAAGTTGCTCCACAACAGACACAGCGTGTATGTGTGCATCAGCTACCGGCTGGGCGTTTTTGGTTTTCTTAGCACCGGGGATGAGTCAGCGCCTGGAAACTTTGGCTTAAAGGATCAATTGTTGGCACTGAAATGGGTGCAAGAGAATATCGTGTATTTCCACGGAGACCGGAACGATGTAACCATATTCGGACAAGGTAGCGGCGGTGAATCTGTTCACCTGCAGTCCATCTCGTACCAAACAAAGAGTATGTACCCATAGATTTTTAGTAGAATCATCTCACTCGCTTTAGTAAAACCATCTCACTCAAATATGACAGACACATATACCCATAGCTTTTTAGTAGAATCATCCTATTTTCGATTAAAAAATGTTTCTTTTGCATGATTTGAACGACTGCTGCAGAGGAAATTATTTAGTCAGTGTATTTTCATTTTAATAACTGTTGCAAAAAAAAACATGATTCATTCGGACTTCCTCTCACATAATTCTTATTTTCATCGCAACAAGTTATTTGGAGAAATTTTTAATCGCATCTGTCTGTTGAAATATTTATTCAAGTTGCACAATTTTAAATCTCAACAAGCTTCCATTTATAGTAATCGTGGTAATTAAGAAATAATAATTACAGAATAGCATTGTTCTAAGGGTTAGGACGAATAAATGTCCATTCATCGGCGATAGGCTAACTCGCTCGTTCACTTTGACGTCACACGTGTTGCAACCCGTCAGCCTAGCTAACGTCAGCGATGTCAAACGTTTTGCTTTGCTGTCCCGAAACTTTTACCTTTTATTGGTAGAAAGTCTGACGCTTTTTTATTCGGTGTTCTTTCGAAACGATTTTTATGAGCGAATTTCACAACCGAACTGCCTCGCTTAACGGAAAGAGCAATACCATTTTTTATTGATTGTTTTACATGAAAATATTGCGAGATCTTTCTCGATTACTAATTATTATAATACGGTTCGTCATGCGTTTTCGGCATTTGCACGTTTCGAAAACGCAAGAAAACATTAACATTGTGAAAAATTAATGACGTGTCTGCTCCACGTTTATTATTATATATATCGTATATTTTTCACTTATATTTATCGTTACGTATATTTTTCACTTTCCGTGAAATAATTCGTGAAAATTAAATTGGCATGAAAATTCTCATTCTAGGATATAATTTCTGCTTCAACCCTTTGCACTCGAGTGATGACTCTGAGGCACCACTAAAATTTGTTATATCACGTTTTAAAATAATTTTTATATTAACAAAGTTCAGATTTAAAAGATTGCTAAGAGTGCAATTATCGCGCGAGTCCCAAGAGTCAATTCCATGCGCATAAAATGCATTTTGTCACGTATAATAGAACTACTATAAGTTAGAAAAATGGTTTTATATTTACAGTTAAAATAGCTTCGAGAGTGCATAGAGTTAATTGTAGGTCGGAATGTGAATTACTTGGCACATTCAGTTGTTCGCAGACAAGTTCAGTTTTATTTCTAAACGATTGAAATTTTTATATGTAATCAGAACAAACTTTTTTATTCGTAAGCGAAACAAATTAATTAAGACACTCGACCGTCCGTAGAGGAGTTCAAACGTCTCATCTGTCTGAGTGGAATTGCCTTTTGTCCACGTGCATTCACCGACGATAAGTCTTACTACGAGAAGCCCAAACATCTTGGGAAACGTCTCAAGTGTCCACTAAAGAACAGCAAGGAGTTGATCGCCTGCCTTCGAAAAGTGGACGTGAACATATTAATCAAAGAATCGTTTGAAGTTTTCAATGAAATCGACATAGCGACAGCCACGACATGGAGGCCTACGAAGGAACCGAATGGTCCTGGCGCGTTCCTTAACGATACACCGGCGAATATAGTAAAGCATCACCGGAGGCCGATTCACCCAATAATAGTCTCACACGTAAAGGACGAAGGAACGTTCTTCACCAAAAGTAAGACACGATGATCTACTAAATTATATTATCGCTTGATGATCGAACGCTCGACTTCATATTTGATCTCGTCGATTTCGGTCTCATTAATAATATTGTTTCGACTACGTTGGACACTTTTTAGGGTTGTGATTACGAAGCTACGTTAAATTTATTTAAATCAATTAAAATAGGATAATATTTAAGTTGTGTTTCAGAAATTGAAGAGTCGAAATCTCCCGACTTTATTCTTTAAGCATTCAAAACAGTTATTTATTACGACTTAATTTATTATTTCATTTCATTTATTTATTTGTTGATGATCCACCTGTTCGGCGACTTTTATCAACTATTTGTGATAACTTAATTTATTATTTCATTTTATTGATTTATTTTTTGGTAATCTACCTGCTCGACGACTCGACGGTGTGCTTCAAATAATCGTTTCGATGTACGGTTTCATTGTAACATTTATGAAACGATTCGCACGAGACGTTCGATTTTTCAGATCTGCTGAAGAATGAAAAGTTATACGAACTGTGTATAACTCGTCCAGTGGAGGTGATAGAAATGATTCTACGGCAGTACCCACCATTAAACGGAAAGAATGTCAGGGAATTAGCTATAAAAGCAAAGGACTACTACCTGGGTAGCGTGCTACCGAAGGAGAAGGCAATTGTAAGTACATCTATGCGCAATGTAATAAGATTATGTGAGATCCGCGCCCGAGACATTCGAGAAAGTGTCGGTGCTTTACGAAACGCGGCATCGCGCTTCTCAGACGAAGCTGGAATAGCAAATACAATTTGGTCGGGGCTTTATAGTTCTTTTTTTTTGGTGCGACACAAAATGCTGATAATATCGTACGTTCTATGAACCGTTTATTTTGTTTATTAATCGGTCAATCGCGGAATTTTATGTAAATCCGTATTATCAGTCAATGATACAAAGAAGTGCCAAATTAAAAATCGTATGAAATTACGAAAATAATATGTCATTTTTATTATTGTCTTTCTTTCTAAATTGCGACGAGGATGAAATTTACGTTTCAACTATCCGAAACATAAAAATGTGTACATTTATGGCTATATTTTTAATCTAATCGATATACGACAGGATGTTCCATAATTATGTTAACACCCAGAAAGGAATGATTCTTGAGGTCATTTCGAGCAACTTTTTCCTTAGCGAAAATGCGATCCGCGGCTTCGTTTACGAGTTATTAACGAAAAACACTGACCAATGAGAGTCGGGCTCGCCTGACGTTAAGCGGCCGAGCCAATCAGCGGAACTGGGCCGGCGCCTCGCGCCAACCGAGCTCGCCCCTCATTGGACAGCGCTTTTCGCTGATAACTCGTAAACGAAGCCGCGGATCGCATTTTCGCTAAGGAAAATGTTGCTCGAAATGACCTTCTCCAGATGTTAACGTAATTCTTCACAATAATAAATTAATTATTCACAATTCTCTTAGCTCGTCTATTTTGATTTCAGGTTATCGAAAGATACACCAACCTTATGTCGGACTTCTGCTACAACGTCCAGATAATTCACTTCCTCAGACACTTGCGGAAGATTCATAGTGTGTATGTCTCCCGTTACAGCTATCGCGGAACAATCACGGCTACGGAGAGTTTCCAAGGCTCGTTGCATGCAACCGGCGTCGGACAAGGTTCCGACTTATTCTCCATATTCCCGATGCCACCTAGTATCCTAGGCCCCCAGTACAGCAACTTAAAGCCGTCGAAGAATGATGAACTTATCAGCGATATCTACATCGATTTGGGGGTCTCTTTCGCTTACAATAGGTGCGTAACAGTGGCGTAAGCGCCGCTATGATCCAAATCTGGATTTTTGGTACCTTTCGTATCGTACCTGGAGTCGCAGAGATTTGTAGAAAAATCGAACAACTCTCTACGTAATTGCAGCATCAATGACCAAACGCATTTCTATTGCAGCACACCGGTTTCGGGCGATCTGAAAGATCCCCATATGTGGAAGCCGCAGAATAACCATTCAGAAGTGTATCTCGAAATTGGCGATGGTAGAAGCCCCAAGGTGACTGTAGGAACAAAATATTCGTGCAGCGTCGACTTTTGGTTCGATAACCTGCCGCTATTTTCCTTGGATTAACGAAGTATCGTGTGCACGGCCTATCTCTAGCGGTTCGACGATAAGAATCAACCGGTCGCCGGGTTTCCAAGCGTACGCGTGCGTGGAATTTTTGACTGTTTAAATGCAAGAATAAAAGTTAAAAAAAAAGATCATTTCGAGGCTTTCTACGTTCCCATAGCACCCACGTCGGAGAAACGGTACATCGCTTCCGACGTGCCGCGTCGAATCGTTTCGCGAGACCTTGGCACATCGCTTTTTAATTTATACTATTTTACTTGATTTTATTTTTCTTTATACTTGACATTATTTATTGTCGAAACAGAAATGTGGGCATTGAACTTCAGGATATTTCGAAATATTTGAAACATCGCCTGCGTTCTATTTTTTTCAGCGAATATTTTATACACTTCGTAGAGTTCCAAATGTAATTGCATTCGTCCTCGGTGATTCAAGAGTGATTTTATTAATATACCAAATTCATTTCTTGGACGATCAGAAATGTTAGTTGGGGCAATTCAGGGCGGCGAACAATATCATCGGCGAGCAACGATGTTTCACTGGCGCCTCTCGCGGGAGCTCGCGAAACCAAACTTTTAACGTCGCAGAAATTCTGCGATAGGATCACTCGTACCATCTCTGCTTCTATCCTGATAACAGTAATGAAATTTCTATCATGATCGATTTCAATGTTCGTCGCTCAACAGAGTTTGTTTGTTGCATAATGGATAACGGTGCTATCGAGTTGGATATCATTTTAATGAAATGCGTATAACTCGGCGGCGCGAAGTTCCAAGACGAGTGAAGTATTTAAACTAGTTAGGGAACATGAAGTCGCGAACTTTCAACGGTTAACACCTGTTTTAACAGGCAACTTATACTTCGCCTAATGAAATTTCAGGAATTCTGTACACAGTTCTAGCCCGGCATCGTCGCGAGCTTCGCTCATTGAATAGCAAAAATGCAGCCGCGCCGTAGCTTCTCGTCGTAATGAGATGCACCGTTAACGCAATTTGCGTGGCAGGCTGTTTCTTGACAGCCGGTGATATGAATTGTGATAATTCTTCAAGGCTCGCGGATATTCTGCGCGGGACACGGGAAGCGTGACTCCTCGGGCATTCGTGTGACGCTCGGACGCGTGGATCAACTTCGAGTTGGAGAAACGTGACGAACGTTATGTGCATTCATCTGAAATCTTGTAGAGATAACTCGCGTGAAAATCGATCCTCGACCGATAAGGGAGCATTATGTTTTAACGTGACGGTGCTGATACTTATCGCTGTGGTTACAATCGCGGTTGTGAACTTCTGGATCTTCCTGGACCAGCCGAAAGTTCGGATCGGCGAGGGTTACATCATGGGGACGACAATGCGAACGAGAAACGGACGGAAAATATTTGCTTTTCTTGGAGTGCCTTATGCCGAACCACCGCTTCGGAATTTGAGGTAGTTGCTCTCGATGTCGCGGAAATTTCATAATTAACAGAACAATGAGAACGAAGATGACCTCGCGCGTATTTAAAGATTGGAGCGATTATCATATTGCATATTGCATGAACGATGAATAGGTATCGGTACATTTCCATAGTTCGTTATAGGCTCGTTCATCAGGTTGAACTAATTGCGATTTCGAAGAGATAAATTTGAAACCGCTTTTAAACAATTCAGATAAGCACAATTGATCTTCTTTTTCTGCTTCGTTTTGAAAGGTTTCGTAATCCTGTACCAAAGAATGCATGGGGAGGAACTTTAAAAGCTCACGAAGAGGGTCATCAGTGCTTGCAATTTCACGGGAACAATATTGTAGGAGACGAAAATTGTTTAACACTAAATATTTATACCCCGAAGGTACATAAGTACTACATTTCACGTTTTTCTTTTGGTAATATACGCGACAATACAATCGTAACAGAAAATTCATAACATAGAAATCGAGAATAAGAATTTTTATTTAATCATTGAGAATGTTGATTCGAACAACAATTGTTAAAAATCATTTCTTTTCACATAAACGAATGCACGACAGAACAATGCGAACATTTAAAGAATTTAAAATATTTATCCCATGGTCCACAATTTATCAAAATGATCGAGAAGCAAAATTAATTTATTTTAATTTATTGTAATTTATTTAATCAATCTATTTGCTTCGATTACACGATGCAGACAATTTTTACCGCATCGCTAAAAAATCCTAGCATTGTTGTCGTGCGATTCGAGGACGCGATCATTAAGTTTTTCGATTAACGTAAGTTTTCCGATATTTTACGAACTAATTGTATGACGTTTGTGCATTGAAAGGTAAAGAGAAGCAACTTACCTGTATTGGTGTTCATTCACGGCGGTGGATACCTAACGGGCAATTCGAGTCACTATCTTTACGGGCTAGATCACTTGCTGGACAAAGATCTTTTACTTGTCACCCTGAACTACCGATTAGGCCCTTTCGGGTTTCTTAGTACTGGAGATGCTGCAGCTTCTGGTAACTTCGGGTTAAAGGACCAAGTACTGGCACTGAAATGGGTGTGGAGGAATATCCGTGCCTTCGGTGGCAACCGGAAAGAAATAACATTGGTTGGTCAAAACGTAGGTGCCACGTGCGCTCATCTACACTCACTTTCGAACAGTTCAAAACGTATGCTCTTTTCTATTATTTGTTTCGTCAGACAATGCCTTGTTTGATATTGACATAATATGTGTAATATGGAAATATACTCCGCGAACATATGCAAAAGTATGACAACAGTAAATCATGAATACGATGAAGGAGCAACGAATTTATAATAGATTACTATGTCATCATCATATATTATTGTGTTATCATATTATTATAGATTATTATACATACATTATTACATTTTTATGATTGATTATTTTTTAAAAAAACCTACTTAACCAAAAGTACCAATTTTGATTAACATACACGAACATTTTAAAATATTTGCACACGAATCAGTATGCTCCGCAGTTCAATAATGAGTATATTAAAAATATGCTACTAATCCTTGCGACAATTACGAATTTCTAAGAATTTTTTCTACACGATATTAAAAGAGAATTCCAAATACTATATAATATATAATAATAATATACTATATAATAATTGTACAGTCATAAAGTTTACTCTTAAGTCCGCAGCGATTAAGCAATTAATTAATTAAAAAGTACACGGATTATCTGTTCGTTTTACAGACTTGTTCAATAATTACATCGAGCAAAGTGAAATCGCTATGCCGTCGTTGGCGTTTCGTTTCAGCAGTTCCTATTTCGACGCTGCGAAAAGGCTCGGCGCAAGGAACGATTGTCCAACCAACGATTCGTATTTATTAGTGAGCTGTCTAAAACGTTTGACTGCTCGCGAATTAATGAAGACTTCGTCGGTTTTCACACGAGTACAAGAACTCGTGGAGGCAGAATGGGGCCCGGTGGTGGAGCCGAAATCTAGGGGAGCATTTTTGACAGAATCCCCTCTGATTTTGGTAGACAGATGTCAGCTGAAAAATAGTTCGATTATGATGGGGTTCATTTCGGACGAAGCTTTTCCAATTTTGCAAAGTAAGTCGACGAATGAAATATTCTGTGAATTAAATCCATTGTTGGCACTGTTCACTTGGAACTGTTTTACTGTCCTATAACTATAGTGTATTTGAACATGTTGTTTTATGAAAATTACATTTTCCTTACCTAGTGTGCGTTCAGCATGATTCATTCGGAATAACAGTATCAATTAATATATATTGATTAATTCTTAATTATTAGTTAATATTAATATAATATTGATTAATTATTAATTATTAATTAATATTAATATAATATTGATTAATTATTAATGATTAATTAATATTAATATAATATTGATTAATATAATTGATATATTTGCAATATATCGAATGAAAATTATGATCTTGAAGATTCTTATGTTACAACGTATGTTAAAAATTATTTCTGATATATTAAAAAATTTGACATATTGTTCAAGATCTGTATCACAACGAAACTGCATATAATCTCTTCGCACGCGATCCATTGTCTTTAATGGTTGAACTATTGGACAACATTTATTTCCTGAGAAGTAAGAATACCACGCGCATAGCAATCGAGGCGAAACAATTTTATTTGGGAGTCCAAATGCCGACAGATAAAGCTCAGGTATTATTCGAACCATTTTCGCGAGGTTCGATGATTCGATATATTTCTGAATTGATCATTTGATTTATTTACCCAAAATGATTTTTCATTGTTCAAAATTACTGGAACTTATTCTAAGAAATTTGGAGGATATTATAAAAGATATTTAAAGAAAGCTTCGATAATTCAATACACATATTTCCATGTTAATTATATGGTTTCTTTCGTCAAAATGATTTTTCTTCATTCCTCAATATTTCTACATCTTATTTAAGGAAATTCGAAGAATATTATACGATTTTTAAAAAAAAGTATTTCGTACGATAGAACAAAAACCAATGCTATACCGAATAACTTCCTCTGACGTAATTCTTTTTCATAGGTGCTACGCGGAATTTCACAATTTATGGCAGACGTAATCGTGCTATACCCCTCAGCGTACTATATCAAATATGTAACAGAGCATTGTGGACAGAAAATTTATGTGTATCTGCTTAACTATCGCGGTACTTCGAGTACATTATTCAATCCCGAGAATTATGAGAAATTGTCTGTTGGTCGTACGGACGACCCTGTCTATTTATTTCCACGAAATTTGACATACGGAGATGTAAATTACGATTTCGAGCGGGCATCGTCTGCTCGCAATATCAGCGATCTTATCGTAGATTTCTGGACGTCCTTTGTAATCACGAGGTACTGATGATCTATCAAAATACTGAGTGCAGTTTTTAAAATTATCAAATATTTCTTGGCTTTATATAATATAGAATCATAAATATCAAATAAATAAATAAATATATATAAAATTATAAATTATAAAATATTTCTCGGCTTTATATAAAATATAGAATTATAAATATAAAATCAATATATATATAAAACTATAAATTATAAAATATTTCTTCGTATGGATTTTGTTTCGCGAGGAAAATATTTACAAGACTAGACAACGCAAAATTGCTACGACTGTTCGAGATATTATCTAAACAATAAAACAATGTCTTCTACTGCACAGTGTCCCAACGTCGAACCTTTTGAAAGAACCGTCATTGTGGAAGCCTTACGCGAACAACAGCTCGTTTCTTCAAATAGGAAACACTTCAGACGCCACAACAACGTTGCAGACTTCGTTTTTTGAGGAACGAATGAGGTTTGTGCATAATATGTATTATTACACTTAGAGTTCGTAATTGTAGTAATAATAATTGTTATGCTATATGAAATATTTCTAACTATTTCCCGACTGCAAGTAGCATGAAAAGAAAGGATTGTAACGAGGTGTGGAGGAAAATGTAATTCGTACAGATGTGTTAAGGTTTTATAAGGCATTGCAGGTTTGAGCTGTTACATAAAAAGATAAAATTATAAAAATAAAATATTGGATACTAATTTATGCATGGAATTGTACATAATTTATTTAAATAAAGTTTCGCGCGTCTATTTTATTCAAATAAACGCTTGCCTATCGAATTTATTCAAATAAGCCTCGCGAAAGATTAATTATCAGTAATTACAAAATTCAAAAAGCTGCGGTTGATGAATTATGGATTGTGAAGTAATGGATCCCCTTTTGCCGGAGAGCGATCCAGTTTCAATTTCAGCCCTCAAAAGTTAATCAAATTCCCCTGTGAAGGCATTTTAAAATCGATTTGAAGCAATCCCTTAAAACCTAATCATTTTTCGCCGAGCCACCATTCGAGACTTACGGTCTTTCGACGTCATTTCAGATTTTCTTCGAAACCTAACCGGATCCACTGCAAAGTACTGCTTTCTAGATTTCGCTCGCGATCCCAAAAGTTTATAAATTCTCGCGGGAATACATTTCACGGTCGAATCTTGAAACTTCTCTTAAACGAATGTCACCTATCCAAGGAAATTAAGAAGCGAACGTTGTTTAAAAATGTTCGTTGAACAACATGTTTGCTGAATTCTCCTACGCGACGCAAGGCTAAATATTATTTGTACGTTAATAAATATTTAATTATGAAACAACGCTGAACATAACAATTGTTAGACGGAATTCTGTCTCGGCGTATGACCTTATGCGCAAATATCGCTAGAAATTGTCAGCCGCCATATGACAAATAAGGCGGGGTTTACTTTATGAGCTGAACCTTGGAGCAAAAACTAGTGAGGTAGCCCGGAGGATTTGCACGGCACTCCAATCTGATTATGTAAGTGAAGGTACCGCACCGAAGTGTTTCAAAAATTCAGAATATGCAATGAGAGACATGAAGATCGGCTACAAGAAAGACGTTCCAGTAGCATTTATTCTGTGAATAATAAAAAGGACGGAACTTGTCAGAATTCTCGGTAAGGATCGGATGCGACATGGAAGCTGCTTCTGAAAAATATCATGTTAATAAGAAAAAGGCAGCATATATTACCATACGTTACTTATACTAAATGCATGTATTGAACAGTCTAACTAGTTTTAACATTGATAAAACGGTTTTTAAAATCATCTGTTTCTCGTTCAACAAGATTTCATTTATAATATCTAGATGGATCTATTATTCGTCAGTTTTTAGGTTGAGAAACAGGAACAGTGAAACATCTGGCAAGTTATTTATTGAAGAAAGTGAACAATAGTGAACAATATTATGCATATTTTTCGACTAGAGTACTCTTTTTATTTAAGTAGCCACTATATAGTAGAATACTTCGATGAAATGTTAATACGTTTTGTTTATATTTGTATGTAGATTCTCGTTTGTACATATAAAACAAAAATAAATAGAAATTCAATTTTTACATTCCAG